CCCCCCACCCCACATATATCTCAATGGGAAACAGGGAAGGTATTTATATGTAACTACAAGTTTTTGCTCATTTCCAGGTTATAACCCTTTGTCTGGGGAAGGAGGTGGAGCTTGCTCCTGGAGACCTGGCCGCAGAGGCCCATCCTCCGGCGGATGAGGCTAAGGAACCTTGCTCAGCGTCACCCCTTTGACACTAAGCAAGCACACTACTCTCCCCTCCCCCTTTTCAATTGCCTTACGCACTTTTTCACAGTGACCAGCCCAGGGGCCATGGGGTTTTCATTTCTGTTAACTACACACCTATAAGGCTTGAAAGGTCATCCTTTCAAGTGAAGCCAACTATTTAAAAAACCTTTGATTCATGGGTAATTGGATAGATAAAAAAACAGCAAGACCTAAACTAGTGGTCCTTCAACAAACCTTGTGGGGGGGTCGCTGTGACAGGCTGCGTGGAATGATGTCTTCCTTGTAAATGGTGAAACCCACCACCAAGGATCACTGAGGCCGACAGTTGATAGGGTTTTTCTGTATGTCTTCTGTACAGGACACTTTGTAAACTCCCTGAAAATAACCACTTTTCAAGGAACCATCTCTCTCCTTCATTTCTGTCTAAAGCATTAAAAAAAAAAAACGGGGGGTCCTTTAAAAAGCCAAGAAACATTGAGGGCTTCACTTTGCTTTAAACTCAAAAAAAATCTGACTGCCCCCAAGAGGCTCAAGAACCTGCCCAGGTAGGCAGGCGAATCACAGCCCAGGGGGCACAACAGCAGCTGCAGCCATCAGAACTGATGGGATGTTATAGGGGCTGCGACTCCCCCCCAAACATTAAGAGCCAACTTGGTGCAGATGCCCTTCCTGGGGAACACGAGGGTGGGGAGGCAAAGTGGCCTAGTCCACCTGGACAGTCCTGCTTCCAAGAAACTGACACGTGATGACATGGGGGAGCTGCGAAAAAACACCAGGGGCTTAAATTGACAGCTGCACCAACTGGCNTGGTTAGGTAATCATCTACTCTTTTTTTGAAATATATCTTTATTGATTTCAGAGAGAGGAAGGGAGAGAGAGAGAAACATCAATGATGAGAGTCATTGCTGCCTCCCGCATGCCCTCGACTGGGGATCGAGCCCACAACCCAGGCCTGTGCCCTGACCAGGAATCGAACCCCGATCGCCTGGATCCTAGGTCGACGCTCAACCC